CCGTAGCCTCAGAAAATCTTTCAACTTCTCTAATAATGATAGATGAATGTAAAAAGGAACCTACATTTGAAAAAGCATCTGATAATTTGGACTTTATTTCGTATGACTGTGATGTTACTCCACAATTGATCGAACAAGTTGCACTGAATGATTTAATCAGAGATTTAGATTTATCGAAAGAAAAGACCGAACTATTAGGATTTTGATTATAAGAAAGAAATCTCCAAACTACATCCTATACTAATAGATGGAACAACCATCTATTAGTATAGGTTTCGTGAAAAAAGATTTTTGAAATTTTTTTCTGAACAAGATTCCATGGTATTTTGCAATGACGACCTGGTTTATTACAAGAATTCGGAATAGAGTACTATCTTAAAGATTGGAGAGTTTTCAAAGATGCTTCTAAAACAAGTTTAAAGGGTGTTCTTTTACACGATGGAAATAAATATGCTTCAATTCCCATATTTCACTTGGCGTACCTACACGATTCTTATACCAATATGAAACTCATTTTTGAATTAGTGCAGTATGAAAATCATAAATGGAAACTTTATGGTGCCTAAAAGCAATTAGCATGATTCTTAGGCAGCAAGGTGGCTACACAAAATTTCCTTGTTTCTTGTATGAGTAGGATAGCAGAGCGCATGAGTTGCATTGGAAACAGAACAATTGGCCAAAAAGAAAGTCATTGGAAGCAGCTTCACGAAATATTGTGAACGAAACATTGATTGATCCGAGAGACGTACTGCTACCATTCTTGCTCATAAAGGATCAATGAAGCAGTTTGTTAAAACATTAAATGAAGACAGTAAAGCTAAGACTCCATATATGCGGTGAGCTCCGGTAAACATATGCAGAAAGCGACTCCTATGCGCGGCAGATGTTAATCAATGGCTATTCTATTCGTTGAGTTTTGGAACATAGCCCCGTATGCATCACTAATATACTCCATATTTGATGAATTTTCATTATTTATAAAATCCATGTTTGATAGTTTCATACGACATAACGATATAACCAACAAAGCTACAAACCTACATAACCTATAAACCTATATAATCTACAAAGTCAGACTCTAAACATTCATATTTTCACGTTCCGAAAATCGTCCTGCGTACGTATGACATGCGGCATAATGCGGAAAAATTAAAATATTTTGATTTCAACGCCGTGCGATGCGTAGTCGGAGCTTACCACAACCGGACCTGTGTCTGTCTTCTGATTAGTCACCGCAGTATTTGCCGGAACTTACCGCATACATAAAGTAGCTTAAATGTTTCCAGTACTTCCTTAAAAAATTCGTATCTTTAAGTAAAGCTAAAAGTAAAGAAGGAATTTTTATTGTCCTGATATTAGAAGGCTTATGAAGGACGATGATTTTGTGAAAACGACGATAGAAAAAAGCATGGATGAGTTACAAGAAAGTGATCAGAGACTTCTTAGGAAATGTGAAAGAAAAAAATTACAAGGTTCTTGTTACAAATATGTTGAATCACTTTAAGAATTTGGGATGCAACATGAGCCTTAAATTTCACTTTTTGCATTCCCACCTTAACTACTTCTCTGACAATCTTGGAGACGTGAGTGAGGAGCAAGGTGAACGTTTTCATCAGGATATTAAAGAAATAGAACAAAGATATCAAGGAAAGTGGAATATGCTAGCTAACTATTGCTGGTGTTTGGAAAGAGGTGAAACCAATGTTACTCACAAAAGACGTTCCAATTCTCGAAGCTTCGAAGAGAAAAAAAAGATTCTACAAATCACTTTGAATATTACTAGACGACATTTTCATGCCTTATCTTGCCTTAGTTGGCTGGATCATGCTCTATCTCATCATCCTGGCCATATTAGATCCACCATTTTGAATTTCCGAATTTTGACTTCAAAGTCGTAATCAGTGACCCAAAAAACCTTTTGGTAGAAATTCTTAATTGAATTATAACGACTTTTTATTTTCGGGCCGCTATATTTTATCCACCATTTTGAAAAGCCAAATTCTGCCTTCAAAATCGTAATCAGTGATCTGAAAAACGCTTTGATACAGAATTCTAAAGAAATCGGTCTGATAAAATGTTCGGTGCTTAGGTACCAAAGAAAATGGCATTTGTTAATATAAAGTGTCCTCAGTTGTAAAACATTTCGGAAACCACGTACATGCATTTCCGTAGATTTTCTTTATGAGGAATCCGAATTTTGATTGTTTGAATTGTTGACCAAATTAACGAGTAATATCGCGTTTGAAAGTTGTGACGCCTGGTGTGCGTCCATGCAAGTCCTTCCCGCTTACGTCGTAGAATAGGGCTCCGCCGAGACCCGGCCCGTCGGAACCCAAAGGCGGGAAGGGATCGTGCTCAATTGACGAGTTGACATGTGAGTTAATAATGCTTTATTAAAAGAATAATTGATCTAGCAAAATATAATACGCCGAGATCGGCCGAGACGGCAGCGGTGATTCTGTTCGCAAACTGGGTCGCTTAACCAGTGTCGTTTCCGATTGCCCTCCCGTGACGATACGGCGGTCGCTTCCGTTCGGGGATCGTTCGCCCGCTGATCGCCTCTCCTCGCAGAGGCGATCAGTCGTGCTCGTTGTCGCGATACTCGCGACGTGCGCCCGTGACGCAAAATCGGCACGCTTGCCGAGGCTTTCGGTCTCAGGAGGTTCCGCTCCCGAATGTCGGTCTCGCTCGCGACGGTGGGAATCGGGCACGGATTAGCCCGTGGCGCTTATGCGAGGGGAACACGCCCGCAGGATGGCGAGGACACTTGCCCCGGTGATAGGCGAGCACACTCGCGTAGACGCGGCGAGGACTCTCGCCCCTGGGAATCACGAGTACGCTCGTGTCGGGTACGGCGAGAACTCTCACCCGGGAAATCACAAGTACGCTCGTGTCGGGTACGGCGAGGACTCTCGCCCCGGGAAATCACGAGTATGCTCGTGTCGGTTACGGCGAGGACTCTCGCCCGGGAAATCACGAGCACGCTCGTGTCGGGTACGGCGAGGACTCTCGCCCCGGGAAATCACGAGTATGCTCGTGTCGGTTACGGCGAAGTTCTCGCCCCGGGAAATCACGAACACGCCCGTGTCGGGTACGGCGAGGACTCTCGCCCCAGGAATTCACGAGTACACTCGCTAAAATGCCGGAGAACTCTCGGGCGGGTCGGTGACTCGTCTCTTTCCGACGAGACGTCAGAAGAAAAAGGTCCCTCTCGTGAGTCGCACGGCGCCTTATATCGGCCGCCCGTACGACTCCGGTTCCCCCTCCGTATCTCGTGGCACGGAATACATGTGACGGCCGCATGCCGCGCGCGTCGAGGCGGTTCTTGCCTCCACGCGCGTACCGCGTGCTCGCTCGCTCCTTTGTTCATTTCGCTCGCTCGTGGCCCCTCTCGCTCGCTTGCTCGGTCGTCCGCTCGCTTGCACCCTGCGCAGGGTGCATAACCCGTGGTCGAAATGCATTTCGCGCGGCCCGATTCGTAACGATCGGCGTATCGTTACAAAGTTATTTCCATCTAAAAATGTCAAATAACGGCCCTTTTTGCACGTTTAGGTTAGAATATTTTAAAATTCTGACATGCTAGACAAATTCTGCGGCCAGATTCAGATTCAGCGCAAAAAATTATGCAGAAAAACACCCTTAGATCTTAATGGGGATTCGAAAGTGTTATTTTCGCAGCCCTGTGTAATCAACAGTTATTTCTGCACAGTTGCTTTTTTTCTTTTTCTTCAGCTATTAGCTTTTTCTTCACTATTAGGTTTTTATTTTTATTTTTCAATAAATCCAGAATCGCTTTTAAGGAAATAATGATTGCTTTATAAGTACTTTATAGCCAATCATCTGTGCTGCACCAAATATATCGTATTATGTGACCACATTCCTCGCCCCGCACAGCGGCTTCACCCTCATCGCCTACAGTTCGGATTACTATTGTCTCCTTATTCTTATGTCTATGACATAAACATAATAATTAATAACAACTTTTCGACTTTTTTTGTTTACATATATCTATTCATTCACTTGTCATATATGATATACAGGGTGTCTCAGAACTTTGGGACACGGGCTCCGTAGGCACATAGAGCCAAGTGAGAAGAACAAAAAAGTCCTCTACCATAATGTGAAAATCGTAATAGTTTTTTAGTAATAACCGCGTAAAGTTTACGTTTTCCACGCCCATCGCGGCCTATAGACGCTCCGCGGCAAGCTGTGTGCGTAGGAGCTGAGCAATAACGCGTCTCGTGCTGACTGTCGCGATGACGCCTTGGCGCTTTGACGCCGCGCGACGGTCAACGCGAGCCACGTTATCGCTCAGCCCCTACGCATACAACTTGCCGCAGAGCGTCTATAGGCCGCGCTGAGCATGGAAAACGCCAAACTTTACGCGGTTATTACTAAAAAACTATTACGATTTTCACATTATGGTAGAGGAATTTTTTGTTCCTCACACTTAGCTCTATGTCCCTACGGAGCCCGTGTCCCAAAGTTCTGAGACACCCTGTATAAGCCTTCAGCCATTTGTCTGTCACATTATTAATTTATTTATTTATTATTACTTTACTGTATGACTGCTGACCGTTGATCCAATATCATTTATTACATCTGCGGTAGACTATCCATGCTGTATTATTACTTTTTTTAAAGACAATATATTGGCGTTTGCCCATTAGCTATAACATCTTTATTCATTCATTATTCAATTGGTTGATATAGATGTGGGACTCATTTTAAAGTTTTTATTCGGATTTATGAACTGATTGGAAATCTATGGTGTTAACTGCCTCTGCCTTCTTTTTATATATATAATGTATATGTTTTCGGTTTGGATATTTGTATGCTAATGATGATCAAATATTATAGTCGAAATCTTCCGTATAAACTACTGTAATTTGGATTATATGCTCTTCTGCAATTATCTTTGACTCTCTTTATTGTCCTTTTTTTACAATTTTGATCTTATTATGTGTTGCAAACTAATTGTATAATATTCCTTTATATAGGTAAGATTGAAAAAACTGACTGGAACGTAAAGGAAATTGAGAAGAAAATCGAAGAGAATAAAATGGGGCGCAGTGTGCGCCACGATCGCATAGAAAGAGTGCCGAAGTGGAGTCGCGAGCAGGTTAGCATAAAATACTCAATAGCGCTGACGTTCCTACATTTTTTCAGATGTGTATATGTTTTATTCAGTTTTTAGCTCGGCAGATCAAAATGGAAAAGCGGGGCAACAATCAGAGAGACACTTACAGTAAGTACGCTGACATAGACAATACTCTGAAGAATATAGGCAAGAAAATCCAAGAAGGAAATGTGCTTGGCTATAATAAAGTTTCAGCCATGGCTGAACAATTTTTAAATAAAACTCAAGATGCAGAGCCGAAGATGCAGAAATCGGTAAATAAAAATTTACGATTTTTACAGGAAAGTAGTAAAATGTTAATAGAAATTTTATGTTGCATCAATATTTGTCATATCTCATGTCTATTGTCTTGCAAGGATTTGATTTAATTGTAGAAACATCCAAAAAATATATAAGTTATTCTAATGGCCAAACATTAGAAAAATGTAAGTAGATCTAGTTAAGAATGATCAACCGATTCCTATTCACTGTGTCCTTATTAATTTTTTCAAAATAATCTGTTGACATACTATAACTAGCAACACGGCAGAAACCATAAAGTGCAAGCATCATGTGACTGTGAATCACAGTATGAACTGAATAAATAATACTTAGCATATAAATTCATAAAAATAGAAATGTGACAGACTGTACTGGCATTATGTTATAATAGAAACATAACAAGAATAGGACACGGTTTTCCGAATGATTCTATTGATTACAAAGTATTTATTAAATTAAGATGTTGATTGGTATCGTCGGATTTGACATTACCATCTTTCCACTTACTCGTTTGTTTGCGATGATCTGATCGCATTTTTGAATGCCAGTAGCATTTTTAAAGTGCTTAACGTTAATCTCATTTATATTTTGAATTATTTTGATGTAAAATTAGTTCTTCTGTCTGAAAATAAAATTGTCAGCTGACTATACATTTAAAAGTGCTTTCGAAGACTCTCGGAAATTCTTGAAAATATTTGTATTACCTTTCGTTATGTTATTAATCTGTGATGGAATGAGATACATTTTTGATAGCAACAATTATCATAAAGCGTATGTGTCCTTTAGAACATATATTCAAATCAGATATGAGGTGCATAAATTAATTCGTGCCTTTACATTTCGTACCTTATAATTTCGTTTTAAAATTAAATAGTTTCCCGTTTTTTTACGGTTTATAAGTGTATACCATTAAGTTCTCAAAACATTATATTGGACGATTGCATAAGTTCATGCCCAATTTGAAGATAAACTTTAAAGGTTAAATTTTAAAGAATACAGTTTTATTAATCAATTATATAGTCTCCATTCTTCTCTACAATTGTTTTCCAACGATCTACAAACTTGTTGATTCCATTTTTGAAGAAAGAGCTTGGTTTTCCTTGAAAAAAGGTTCATGACGTGGTTTTCGACAGCTTCCCCGAGCTTAAGATTTTCGCCATTCAAACTATTCTGCAAAGATCGGAATAGATGAAAATCTAAAGGCGCAATATCTGGAGAATATGGTGGGTGCTAGAGAATTTCTCATTGCAACTCCTGCAGTATTCGCAGCGTCTGTTGGGCGACGTGGGTCTAACATTATCGTGATGGAAAATGCTGCCTTTCCGATTGGCCAAAACCGAACGTTTTTCTCGAATAGCCGCATCGAATCTAGTGAGTTGCTCACAGTACTTGTCTGCCATAATTGTTTCGCTGCGTCGGAATAGCTCGAAGTGAATAATGCCCTTGCAATCCCACCAAACATATAACAACACCTTCAGTGGATGCAAACCAGCTTTTGCGACGGATTCTGCACCTTCAGCTGCTTTTTTCCAAGACCTCTTTCGCTGTACGTTGTTGTACAGAATCTACTTCTCATTGCCTATTACCATTCGATCCACAAAAGGCTCTTTTTTGTTACATGCGAGGAGAGAAATGGCCACATTTATGCGGTTCAGCTTATTCCTTTCAATCAAGAGATGCGGCATCCATGTATCGAGCTTAGAAATGTATTCAAGCTTTTTTAAATGGCGAAACGCGATAGAATTATCGATTTTCAGCCTCTTAGTAATCACCTTACTAGGTGCGCAACTAAGTTTCCGGGTTTTTTGATCAATGAAAAATGGAAAATTTCAAGAGAAATACATAAAATACATAAAATGGTTTATTCAAAGTATCGTCCTTCACTAGCTACACATTTTTGCCATTTCTCTGGCAATACATGAATACCGCGACGATAAAACGACGCGTCTTTGGACCGAAACCATTTATCCAACCAATTTTGCACTTCTTCGAAATTGGCCAAGTGTTGCCCAGCCAAGCCATGCGCCATCGACCGGAACAAGTGATAATCGGAAGGGACTAGGTTTGGCGAATACGGCGGGTGCGGTAGCAGATCCTATTTCAGCGTTTTGATGGTGACCTGGACGATGGAAGTGCGATGGCACGGAGCGTTGTCGTGCTGCAATATCACTTGTTCGTGTCTCGTCCCATTCTGGCCGATTTTGCATGGTTCAAATTGATTAGTTGTCGTTAGCAATACCCATTGACAGTTTTGCCCGGTTTCAGCAGCTAATAGTATACGATTCCTTTTGGTCCCACCAAACGCAGAGCATTGTCTTCTTTCCGAAGCAATTTGGCCGTGCCGTCGATGTTGATGCTTCGCCAGGTGAAAGCCACGATTTTTTGCGTTTGGGATTCTCGAAATATATCTACTTCTCATCGCCAGTAACAATTCGATGTAGGAAACTCTTTCTTTCATGCCGCAAAAGCAAAATTTCGCAAGTGGCTCTTCGATTTTCCATCTGTCTCTCAGTCAACTCATGCGGCACCCATTTTCCTTCCTTTTGAATTTTTCCCATGGCATATAAACGTTTGGAAATACCTTGGCGAGTCATGTTTAATGCCTTCGCAAGTTAATCTTGTGTTTGCGTATCATCTTCATCCAATAACGCTTGCAGATCGGCGTCCTCAATTGTTTTTGGTCTTCCGGAACGCTCCTTGTCCTTCCAGAAGTGTCGAAATCGCCACTTCTGAAGCGTTTAAACCAATCTTCATAGGTAGTTTCCGATGGTGCATGTTCGCCGTAGGCCTCCTCAAGCAAACGACGTGCTTCAGCTGCACTTTTTTTTCAAGTTAAAGCAGAAAAGCAAAGCTTCCCGCAAATGCTGTTTATTTGGCACAAAACTCGACATCTTCGTTGTTAGAGAGAATATTTTTGCGTTGCGATATGTGTTGGTATTACGACTGGTTATTGTTAACAGATGTCCAAGTTATAAAAAACACAACTTCAGACATGTATGTCGACTACATGTGTTGTTAGCGCCATCCATGTGTGAAACCCAGAAACTTAGTTGCGCACCTAGTAGTTGTAATCCTTGGGTTTTCTTCCACTAAGGCACACACAATCGTCATCAATGCTAGAAGGCTGTCCAGAGCGGGGTTGATGTTCCAAGTTGAAATAACCATTTTGAAATTTGCCAAACCACTTTTTAATTAATTTAACCGGAGAGCAGAAGCACGGTTAAAATAAACGCTCTGAATGTTTTTTTGTGCAATTTCAACACTCACGCCTTTCTAAAATTCACATAGCATTGCATGCTGCAAATGTATCTTTTTGTTCTACATTTTTAAAAATTTCTTTTATGCGCAAGTCGACTTATTTGAACGATGCCTGACGCTAAAGTGACACAAGACACTGTCACCTATTCAGTGCATGCAGCATAACTACCAGGTGTTTCAGTAATTCCTTTCCGGTTTTTTCGCTAAAGAAAACACGTTATTTACAATGGATAGTTAAAATATATTTATTCAAAGTATTGGCCATTTGATTCTATACATTTTGCCCATTTCTCAGGCAATTTATGGATGCCATTCCAAAAGAACTGTTTCTCCTTTGAGCTAAACCATTCATCGAGCCATTTTTTAACTTCTTCGAAATCGGCGAAGTACTGCTCTGCAAGCGCGTGCCCCATCGATGCGAAAAGGTGGTAGTCGGATGGAGCCAGGTCTGGAGAGTACGGTGGGTGCTATAAAACTTCCCATCCAAGTGATTTCAACACTTCTTTGACTGGTTTTGCTGTATGAGACGGCGCGTTGTCATGCTGCAAAATCACCTTATCATATCTTTGAGTATATTGTGGACGTTTTTCGATCAATGCACAGTTCAAATTGATCATTTGTTGTTGGTAGCGATCAGTATTAACTGTTTCTCCAGGTTTCAACAGTTCATAATATACGACACCAACCTGGTCCCACCAGACACAGAGCATGGTCTTACGACCAAAGCGATTTGGCGATTTGGCAGTCGATGGGCCGCCTTCGCCAGGTGATAACCATGATTTTTTCGCTTGGGATTTTCGAAATAAATCCATTTTTCATCACCCGTTACTATTCGATGCAGAAATGACTTCCTTTCATACCTTTGAAGCAGCATTTCACTGACGATTTTTCGATTTTCCAATTGCCTGTCATTCAATTCATGTGGCACCCATCTTCCCATCTTTTGGATCTTTCCCATCGCTTGTAATCGTTCACAAATTGCTACTCGGCTCACACTCAACTTTTCTGCCAATTGTTTTTGAGTTTGTGTTGGGTTTTCATCCAATAACTCCTGCAATTCCGCATCTTCAAACGTTTTCGGCTTACCAGGACGTTTTTTGTCTTGAACGTTGAAATCACCACATTTGAATTGTCGAAACCACGTTTCACATGTTCTTATGGTTGGAGCATGTAAGTCTCTACCAGCAAACGATGACTTTCAGCGGCTTTTTTCTTTTGATTAAACAAGAAAAGTAATGCGTGCCGCAAATGCACGTTTTCAGGTACAAAACTCGACATTTTAAAAAAATTATTAATCTATAACGCTGTTATTTTGGCGGAACGTAACTTGTGTAGTTTTGAGGTTAATGTCAGTAGAATAAAATGACATATGTATCAAATCATAATATTGCATACTTATGGCTAGTGAGATCTGTTACAAAAACCGGAAAGTAATTACCGACGTACCTGGTAAACAAAAACACCGGAGCTCAGCCATGCAATAAGTTAATGCCATTTATGAAAATCGGGTACGAACTTATGTAATCACCCAATACAATACTGGCGAAGTAGGCGACATAACTTCACGAAACAGCAGTGAACACGATGGCGGTTGATAAACAGTATTTGAGGCACTTTTTTCGTACTTTAATTTAAAAAATGCTGCTAAAGCTATGGAGATAAAGTTATGGAGAGCCACTCTGAGTGAAGACATTGTAACATAAAATTTATAAAAAGCGGTATCAAAAATTTCGGAATGGAGATTTTTATCTTTCTGATTGATAACACAGCCCCACAAAAAAAGTGGTCGGTGCCTAAAACCGGATAAGTATATTCTTATGTATTTTGATCCGCTGAATCCGAATCCGAAGTCAGAATTGGATAATTGCTAGCTTTATTGTCCCTAACCTCAAAAAACTGATCATAACTTCACTCAATAAAATTAAGTTGTATATGGTTGAATTCAGCTTAAAAATGCTACAATTCTTGTCATTACAAAAATTTTCAATTTGTAAAAATAAAGATGGTGGGAGAAGGATATAAAAAATATAATATTTTTAAGAAATCTTAATAAGAATAATTACACAGTTGTAAGGAGCGTCAAAAACTATAAAACTTTTATCTGAAACATTTTTTGTATCTTTCATAGTTTTTGAAATATACTCTCTGAAAACCAGGTATACCCATATATTGGGGACTTGAATAAGTTCTCGCTGTTTTTTCGTGAAAATGAATGCTTTGTTTGAAAAAATTAATAAAGAACATGTCATTGAAAGTATTGTCCATCGCTAGCCATTACTTTCTTCCATCTTTCTGGCAGTATACGAATACCATGTCGAAAAAACGATTCATCTCTTGAGGTTATTCATGAGTCGACCTATTTTTTGGTATCTTCATAAGAATGGAAGTGTTGCTCAGCCAGGCCATGAGTCTTCGATCGGAACAAGTAGTAATCGGAAGGAGCAATGTCCGGTGAATACGGCGGGTGGGGTAGGACTTCCTATTTGAGCGTTTCCAAGTAGGTTTTGATCGGTTTTGCAACATCTGGTCG